CATCCCCTACCAGCATCCCTCGATACGTCCAACATCAACGAACGTGTGTACGTCTCTTTTCGAGACACGTGGCACACCTCGCTAAATTCCCAGCGAAAATCTCCAAAAAAAAAAAAAAGAAAAAAAAAAAAGAAAAGGGGGAAAGCAGGAGGCGCGTAACAAGCGAACGAGAAGGGAAGAATCCGCCGATAAAAACGTAATCCGCGCGCGAATCGATCAGGCGCGGCCAGCGTGAAACAGGTGGTCCGTGTCGAGACGAGGATTCACCGAGCTTGGTAGGCAGTAAATCGTGCGATCGCGTCTTGTCTCATCAGCCTCGCAACGGTGCAACGCACCGGTGGACCGGTGGCTCGTGTACCACGCGACATAATTCCCCGAGAAGACGATGAATCAGATCGAGCGTAGCGTATCCTTACGCGAGTGGAAGTGGAAACTGAAATGAAGCTAAAGAAGAGAAATTGGAGAATATTAAGAATTATTCTGCAAGAGAAATTGGAGAATATCTGTCTCTAATCTCTATCTATTATATATCTATGAGAGAATATTGAGAATATTCTATTTGATATTAAAATTCGAAGCAATCACGAAGTGTTCAATTATTTCGAAGAATAAACAGGCACACAAACTCCTGTTCAATGAATCATAGACAGATAACAAACGAATGTCAGTATCTTTAATAATTTACAGATCGATGTAATAGAATAAAGTAACGAGTAACTCTATTTCGGAGATAATTTCGAACAATAAACCGGTATACATAAATCCTGTGTCGTATGAATCACGAAATTTGAATATAACAGAGTAACGAGTATTCTATTTTCGAGCACTCGTCAATTTCAAAATGGTAAACAGATATGTGAATCCTGTACGATTTAAATCATGAGTGTAAGTAATAATTTGCAAATGAGTGTCGGCATCGTTAGTGATATAAAATAAAATAACGAGTATTTTGCATTAAGATTTAGAGCACCGATTAATTTCGAAAAATTACAAATACATAAATATCTTGTGCAATTTAAATCACAGATATTACGCAAACAATAGTTTATAAATGAATATCAGTGTATCTTTAATAATATAATCTCGGACGACTAAACGAAAACTTTTGAATAGTATAATTTTATATTTTTAAATTTACCATAAATGGTAAATTAAATGGAAGAGAGAGAGAGAGAGAGAGAGAGAGAACTGATTTATTGAGCTGCCTTCGTCGAGATTCGCCTACTCTTGTAGCTCATTCGTGCTACGACCCCGTTCACTTAAGGAGCCATCGACTATCGCTTTCGCGTTAATCGATCGATCGATCATTCGATCGCTTTCAATAACGCCATACTCCAGAGGATACCGATCAACTCGATCGGCGAGTTTCGCGAAAATTGTTGCGTTTCAACTTTCGACGACTTACGCGGCACAACGCGTAATTCAGCCAACGAACAGTTGAACCAACGACGATGAAAAATTGTTAACAAAACGTCAAGTGGTATAACCTCATAAAAGGATCACATATCCACACATGTCTCTAGTTCGTTTCTTTCAAAGATGATTTGATAGAAATGCTTGTCCATCGAGAGATTCAAGCGTTAAAATATATAAATTTATTTTTATTTCAATATAATATATTTCTATTATAAATATATTTTATACATAATATATTTATAATACATTATTATAATATATTTTTCACCGTGCCACTGAAGGTAATTTACTCCACTTGGCGCTGGCAATTGGATTGCGGACCGTAACGAGTGACCGAACCGTATGCAATAACTAAGCCGCTACGATATCACCGGATAGAAATTATTGAGAAGTGACAAATTTATTATTTGTTTTACTTATGTGTACTTAAAACTCAGAAGATGGTACAGTTTTGAAAGCAAAAAACTTGCGTGGCACGTTACGCCAGCGCAATAGGTTAAACTTTCGAAAGTCGAAAGCCGAAAGACTTTGATGAAAACATCAGTATCTCTGGAAATTGGGATCTCGGAGCGGTGTTTGCACACGTGGGGTCGATCGGGCTCTCGGGGTGGAGCCCCAGACGGGGATGGGTTTTCACCTTGAAATTAAGCTTCTTGCCCGGCGTGGAACGTGACGGAACACGCCACGGCGTTATTGATCTTCCTCTGGGCGTTCGTAACGCGAGAACGGAGCCTCGAGATTTATTGGGTTACCTCCTCCCGTCTACACGTGTCCATCCCACACTGGCTGCGCGCGGACGCAAGTTCCAGCTTAATTTCGTTTTCGAAAGAGGCGAGACACGACCTTCCTGCCACCCAGTACCGCTCGTGACTAACCAGATCTTCTGAGAGTGATCCTCGATCGGGATCTAGATTCTTCTTTTTTTTTTTTTTTTTCAACGACCAATTTTAGCGGCGACTCTTCTCTTTTCCCGGTCGAAATCGAAATTCGCAGGATTTCAGAAAATAACAATAACAAGCTCAACAAACTAGAGAAAAAAAATACTGAAGAAAAATCCATTGGTTATACTTTCAAATAAAATAATAAAAAAAATTGTGTTTGTAAAAGTCACTTTTACATCTTTCAGCGACCACTCTGTATCTGAAGTTTAAGCAAGGACAAATCTGGCAAATAATACAGATTCGCAAAGTAAGCGAAAGGAGAATTTTGCGAGACGCAGTCGATCCCTCAAACCGAATGAATGAATCTCCGGCACGTCCGCGTTTCAAATCTTTTTCCCCCGGGAGAAGAGAAGTGAAGAGGACTTCCTCCGGTGGGCCAACGTAAGCGAGTGTTGCATAAGCGACCAGTCGGTTACGTGCAGATTGCTCTCGCTGTGTGTTACGTCGGGGACGACATCGTTTGTTCTCGGTTCTGTGCGCGTCACTTTTCGTTACGAGATCGTTACGAAACCGCGGAGGTCACGAACGCGGCGGCACGTTCCTATTGCTGTTACGCGATATCTGAGAAACTGAGACTTTGCTGCGCGATCCTTTCGAGATTTTTTCCCCCTTCGTTTCTAAATTAATAAATTTCTAAAATCCGTCAGCGTTGGCGTTCTATAGAAAAAAGAAAAAAAAGGAACTTAGAGCCGGATTCTAAAAATTGGGAAAATTGGGAAAATTGTATAACAATGCCTGCGATGTTACATTTCTTGCATAATAATACTGTTAACACGTTGCATGATAATACAACTGCATTGCAAATGTAATACAATTGTATACAATCGTTGTATAATAATATTAATAATTAATTATAGTATATAATATAGTATATAATATTATAATATACTATATTATAGTATATAATACTATATTAGTATATATATAGTATATAATATTATTATAGTATACCTATATTAGTATACAATCCTTGTATAATAATATTAATAATATAATAATAATATTATTCACCTAGAATAATCTTACTCACAGGAAGAATTCGGTTCTCGAAAGTGAATGTTTCACGATAATAATATATTCCAAAATAACACGTCTCAAAATTATATACAAGGACGTCTCAATAATCCATCGTTCGAAAAGAAAAATAGTCACTGATATGACTAAATAAAATTTATCCTGTTGCTGTGTCGAAGCAGGTGTGACAAATGAGATCCCCAGACAAATTTAACAATCATCGCATGACCCCACTGAACGTTTATTAAATTTTTCTTTTTACTTCACTTTTACGAATCTCGACGAACAATAATCTGATTGGTGGATAAACTGAAATTGAACGTATACTCTGTATTTGTAAATCGAAATTTATACTTTGGAAAGTGTTACATTCGTGGCAAATATCGTGGCAACAGATCTCTAAAGGATTAAACAATAAGAGGAGGAAGAAGGAAATGCATAAACGACGATCGTTCACGAGGGAAATTTTTTCGCGAGATGGTCGGACACAAAGGCGAATCCTCGCCGTCTCGATCAAAGGTGAATCTCCTTTCTCCTACGCTTTAATTGCCAGCTGACACGGACACGGCTGGCTCGGATTAAAAGTTGCCGCGTCGCTTCGGACGAGCGTTGCGTGCGCGCTTGGCTTCCGAGCCGATTGAAAAATCGACGAGCAACACGGGTTAAGTGGTCGAAGATCCCTGGATAAACGTTCGATGGGATCGACTTCGCGTGATTCTACTTGCTCTTTGTTTCTCCTTCCTTTGTATCATTTAGATTCTCTGCTTAACTGTGTGTGATACTTCGGTCTCGCGAGTAACTATTATTATTATATATTTTGAAAATTTCATTGTTTTCACATACGCGTATGTATAGTTTATTATTGGCGGATGCAACGTGCAAGTGCAAGTCCAACCGGAATTGAAATTTCTATTGGAAGATATCTGTATTTCTCTTGACGAAGTTCATAAAAATTTCGAAAGTGTACGAGTGATTTATCAGTTCCCGTAAACTAACGATCCCTCGTCAATTAATTTCTCTCTTTCGCGAATAAATGTAAAAATTATCAAAACGATGAATACAGAGGCTCGAGGTTCGATGACGGTGATAAAATTTGAGAATGCACGGTGAAAGTATAGGATTTTAACAGTTGAATTTTATTAAACTGTGTCGTTGTTCCTATCTTTCCCAACGTTTTTAAAATTTTTTTTCAACTACGTTGCAACATTCTGTATTAATTTAAAACGAACGAAAGCTCGAAGAACATTCCGATGAAACATTTTCGAAAAGTCATACGTATGTATGTATCTCCGGATTTGGCACTATTTGAAATAAAACTGACATCTGTTGCTGCAGCGTAAATAAATTTAGCAACGGCAACGAGCGTGTTTACACTAACGAGATAACATAAACAGCCCTCATAAATATTTCCCACGATTGAGTATAAAATGATGTCGAACAATTCTGCAATCGAACTTTGTCACTTCGTAGACATTTAATCGACGTTCAGTTAGAGATAAAAATAAAAACAGAAGGATATAACTCAGCTTACTTGCGACAATTTGTAAATTCACCGTTGGGAGGGATGATACGCTTTCGTATCATACAATCAGACAGATACCAAAAGATTACGCTTATAACAGAGAGGAAGAGAGAAAGAAAGTAGAAATCTTACCCATCCGCGTACGCCATTACTATTGCCTCGCAATTCCTATATATCGCTTCAAACTCTTTCTACTCTCAACCCGTAAAAACCCCAAATTTCTCCAAACTACTTTTCGTACGAGACGAGATCTCTGAATTTTCAGAAAAGTGACAGAAAAGTGGAGAAAGGAGAGGAAGGCAAAATGGCGAGGTCGAACAACGTTCTTAAAAATCGCGGTACCTCCACGCGGAGAGGAATTCCTCGGGGTATTTCGATGTTGAAAACTTACTCGGCAGAGGGAAGCGGTACAATGTCCCGGAAACGCGGGTCGCCGTGAAAGAATCAGCGTTTTCAGACTTCCCCGAAAGGCAAACCAGTTTTGGCCGCGTTGTCTGGCTATAGAAAAGGATACATTTCTTGGAAGAAATCCAGGTGCGGTGGCTGAAGGATGTCCAGGGCCGAGAGGACCTGAAAAACACGAATTACACGACGGATATAGAATTTCAATTGCAAAAACGGGGGAATTTCGAACTCGAATTCTGTTTTTTATCGATACTTTATAGAAAAATCGTGGGCATAATTGTACGTGCAAGAGTAAGTCGAAAGGAAACATTAAAGTACAAAGTATGACGCTAAAATAAAAATAAAAGAGAAAAATAAAATAATATTCTCGTTCTCGAGAGAGTCGAGTTTGAGAATTTGTCAAGTGAACGTGTATAATACCAGGGCAACACGTTCAAAATTCATTTATTTCAAAATGAAGCTGCAAATGGACAAATTTCATTCTGCATTTTTTGCACGCAGGATAAATCTTCCCCGTCGGGTTTAGAATTAATTAAATTTAAATACTCTCGATGAATTTTCCTATTCCTAATTTCGTAGCCGATCGAAAGTGACTGGTTGCGAAATAAAACTTTTACGGAAAGAATAAGGGAAAATCGTTAATTTAATATAGGAATACAGTGCACGAAATGAGTTTCAGATCAGAGTTGGCTAACTGGCGCTCTCCCCTCCACTGCATCGATCTCTAAGTGGAGGGGATAGCGCTAGAGATCAAGAAAGTAGGGGCAAGGCCGCCAGTTAACCTGCTCCGTTTTACAATTAGATAAATTGTATATCTTTCTTTCTGATAAAATAAAAAGGAAACGAAATGAATGCAGTCGTCATTTAACCAAGCATGGCACGTTCAGTGTTCAATTTTTAAATCCCGAACAATCAGCCCACTAATTTCCACGTTTTTCAACGTTGAACATTGAAAGGGTTGATCCTTTAAATCAGAAACGAAGCGTCTTTCAATTTGGAACTTTGTTTAAACGAGCTCGTTGCAAGAATTCGTTATCTTTAATCAGAAACTTCGTCATCGAGTATCGGTACGACGCCTACAATTACGGTAGAACTTCGCTTATACGAACTTGTCGAAGGATAAGTAGTTTATTATTGAGCAAATAGTTCAAACTGGTAATAATAGTTTAATAGTTCGTAACGAACGAATAGTTCACATAACGGGAGCATAAAGTTCGGATAAGTGGACTCAAGATCGGCAGGGGTTCACTTAATTCGAGTATCGATTTAAAATAAACGGAATTCGCACGAGCGGAGTTTCGCTACTGTTTCGATTTTCTTTCTGAGCTTAAATTTAACAAATTAATTAAATGTAATGGATCTATTCTTCGATTCAAAATGCAATTTGTGTTCGAGTTCCCGTTAGAGTTCACAAATAATATCGGGCCAAGTCGAACGAAACGAGCAGAAACTTCAAGGAGCCGAAAATCGGACTAAATCGAAAATCGATGATCCTTCTTTCCTTTTTGGATTTTCCATTTTTTCGGCATTTTGTTTCACAGTTTGAGCCATAATAAGGACAAGTGCACAGATCGACCTCCCGAGCACAGAGATCTTCCAATTTATTTATATTTATTATTATATGTTATATAACATATAATAATAAATATATTATATGTTATATAACATATAATAATAAATACAAATATATGTTATATTATAATAAATTATTATAATAAATTAAATAATAAATTAATAATATATATTATTATAATATATATTTATTATTAAGTTATTTATTTATTTATCGATCGTTCCACCAAAAAATGAGCTTCAACGTTCAACGGCTGTGTTTTACAGCTACTAGAACACTTCAATTTCCAAAGAGGCGACCGGCGTGCAATAAAATTAGATATTACTTACGTTTTCGTGTTTGAAGAAGCAGAGCATCTTCAGCTCCCTGAAGACCCGTTTGCTACTCACGAGGCTCTGAAAGACGTTCGGCAGTTTTTTCAAGGCCACTCTTCTACCGTCCCTCGGATCCGTCACCGCCCTGTCAATCACAAATAGAAAAAAAAAAGAAGATTAGCAACAGGCTCGAAACTGGAATTAAAATGATTACGTGAAAGTATATAATATCTAACTATAAATCAGTTGAAATCAGAGGAATTAGATTTGGTAGAAAAGCTCGTAATTTTCGTGGGATGGGCAAATTCTGGCCCAGAGCTCTCTCCAGTGCCCGACGATTGTAGATGTCCCAAGTAAACAGTAGAGAAAGTTAGGCCTGGGACTTGGGATTGTTTATGGCTATAGGCCCTCCAGGCCTAGCACTTACGACATTAAAGGAATGTATGCGTTTGTATGTATGTGTGTGTGTGTGTGTATGAATGACGAATTTTTGTGTAGATGAAGAAGGGAATGAGTATCGAGACGTCAGAGAGAGGAGAGTGAATTGCGAGTTGCGAGTCTATCAATTAAGAAAATAGTGTAAAACGTCACTTTATAATCATTAAACGAATTTTCTTTTACTTAACTTTAAATAAACAACCATCTTTTATCAAAATTCTTACAAATTGGGGTCTCAAGCCGGGATTTCTACATTTTTTTTACAATAGGCACAATAGAAGTGTATTTATTTGAACTTATTAATTAAAGGGAAATTTTCGTGTCAATTTTTAGTAATTTTGCCTCGATAATTTCTCTCCTGCGAATTTACGCGTTGAATTTACGTCCGATTATGTATTTCAAACGCAATCAAACTTAGTAATTATATTTAAAACACAGTCAAACTTGGTCAAACAAGTATTCTGAAAATGAATGTCGCCACTTCTCTAAAAATCTAAGAATCTGAACACGTCCGATTATATATTTAAAAGACAGTCAAATTTAGTAATTATATTTAAAACACATAATTATATTTAAAACACAGTCAAACTTAGCCAAACACATATTCTGAAAATAGATGTCGTCACTTTCCTAAAAATCTAAGAATCTGAACACGTCCGATTTATGTATTTAAAAGACAGTCAAACTTACTAATTATATTTAAAACACGGTCAAACTTAGCCAAACAAATATTCTGTAAATGGACGTCACTTCCCTAAAAATCTAAGAATCTACAGAATCGAAACTCATTCGCGTTTCAAGTAACATTTCCACTTTGTAAATCGTTAACAATTCTATCCACGCTCGGAAATACTCCAAAACACGAGTCACGTTCATTGATAATTGACATGACTACTCGCCCAATGAAATCTACTAAAATCAAATGACTCGCTTAGAAATATTTCACAACGATGAAATTCATCGACATAAAAAAAAATATACCAAATATGATATCGTCACTTTTCAAAACATTTTCTACACTCAAAGTTCACTAAAGAGTTGACCGAAACATAACATTTCCACGATTCTCCCCCAGAACACAGTAAATGTTCCAAAAAAAAACACGAGTCAAACGAATCAACGAAACCCCTCCTTCGAAAAAGAATCGACATAAATCACCCTTGGCCGAAAAATCCGGCGGAATCAAAATTCACGGCACCGAGAGAGCGCGGAACAATCGAAGTCCCCGAAGAGTCAATATCGAGATAGAGCGAGAGCGGACGGGACGATAAATTTCGGCGTTGGTCCGTCGATCCGCGAACACGAGTACCGTGGGATACAGAGGGTGGGAGAGAGTGGGTGGGCGGGTTAATAACAGAGAGAGCGGCGTCGGCGGCGGCGGGCACGATCGATTCGTAATCCGCGAGCAGACGACGAGGCCGCACAGGGTCCACAGGATCCGTGGAATAATTATTGTGCCTGCAATTAGTTCGTTTACGGTGGCTCGATTTCATTGTCAGCCGGACGGCACCGCAAACCAACGATTCCAATCCCTCGTTTTCATTCGACAGTCAATCTCGTCCGACGGACGCCCGGAACCCTGAACGACGCCATACGCGTCCCGACGCGCCGCGATAAACCGATTTTTCCGCGTTCTTTTTTTTGTTTCTTTGTTGTTGTTGTTGTTGTTGTTGTTTCTGTTTTACAGACAGAGATCGTGGCTGTAAAATGGACTGACGTTGCTTCACTTCCTTCACTGCCTTTGATCAGTATTTTTCTTTTCGTTTGCTCGATTTTGAAATTAATTGGCGAGAGAAACATTTGGACAGTGAACTTCAATTCTCAGAATCGTATAGACTGTAAATTGTTCTTAATAAAGTTCGCGGAAGAATTCGAAATTTTTATGAATACTTGTACAACTATCATAATTACATTCAATCAAGGTTGAAGCAAATTTGAAAATTTAGATAGAAAGATGTTCGAAAACTAGATATAATAGATATTTCCAGGAGATTGACAAGCTTCGGTATTTGGTAAGATTATCTTTTAATTATGCTTAAAATGGCTGTTTGTATTAAATACACGCGTATAGTAAATATCTTCCAACTTCTATATATTTGATTGGTTTCAACGACAATCTATCTAATTATAATAAAATGTGGAGGTCCTGCTACAACTCTAAATAAAAAAAAAAAAAAAAAAAATGAGACTATTGCAATTTAGCACGTAACACGATACAGTGTTATTAATTAAAAACTATGGGACAAGTGACAGAACAAATTTAAACGTTATTACACGATAAAAAATACTATAAATAACACACATATACACGAAAGAAAAAACCATGTAACTACTAAAATTATACGTACAAAATAAAATAATAATAATAATTAGAAAGATGACAAACGCGATCCGACAAATTCAAACGTTTCACAACTCATACGATGAAACATGGTAGAAGAATTCATACCAAACGAGGAAGAATGCAATGTAAAGGAAATTACAAGAAGGAAGTAAAAGTTGATAAAAAGTCGCGGCGAATCGCTTAGCATTAACGTCGAAAAGCAAATTAGTCGAGGCAAGTCCGCGACGCGAGTCGCCCGCGCTCTTTCAGGGTCGTTCTACTCGAAATCAGCGGCCTCACTTCCGTTATGCTTGGCAGGCCGAGTGCGATGACCTTTTTCGAAGGTCGTCGTACCCTTTCTTCCTTCGTGACTCGCCTTTGCGAATCGAGAGCTTAACCTCGAGCCCCGTTTTAAAACAGAAGCTCTTACCACTCTCGATAAGATAATCCACCGTTTCTGAATTTAATCGCGGAAGAAAAGTTTCTTTCCTGTTTGTATCTTTCGTTGCTTCTACATTTTTTTTTTTTTTTTTTACTTCTTCTTTTTTTGAGAGAGAGAGAGAAATTTGAAGATTTACGAAAGCGAAAAGTCGAAGATTCAAGGGTTTAAAAATTTGATATTTGACAAGTTAAAGAATTGAAAAATTCGAAAATTCGGAGAGCTAAATATTTGAAGTGCCAAAGATTTCAAGGTTTATGTATTTGGAAATTCCGAAGATTCGGGAATATCGTCGATTGAAGATTCAGAGGTACGAAGAGCCAGAAATTGGAAAATTTGGATAGTTAGATATTCGAGAATTTAAACGTTTGAAAATTAAAATTGCAAGATCCGGCTATTTGAATGAGCCAAATTCAAAAGCTCTGGGAATTCAAATACTCGGAAATTCGAACGGGAATCTCGAATTTCAGACGTCCAACAAAACCCAAGGTTCTTCAATTTTGCAATCTTTCAAGCAAAATTTAACTACAATCTCGCAAGTCTCGCACCAGAGGAAACCATCTCTCAAAGCAACCCTCTACTCTCCGTCAAATAATAAAAAAGAAAACTTGCTCCTCAAAGCAACAAGTACATCCCTTTCTTCCCCTCGCGAAAGATTAATTCCAACCGGACGTATAATTAACACGCGGAATCCTGGATGGCTCGGATCTCGCGTTGAATTCTCGCTGAAACGCGTGGAAATTCCACGAACGTGTTTTCTATTCGACCACGCATACATACCACCCTTCTACCAGGACTGTACTGTACACCGCGACGCTGTTATCAAGCATGGCGGCGCGCATGAATTCCGACGCGCGACGAGAAAGGAAAAAAGAAAAAAAAAAGAAAAAAAAAAGAAGAAAAAGAAAAGCAAAATAGAAAGAAGAGAAAAGAGAGGAAAAAGAAACAGTGGCGGAGAAATAAAGCGAATAAAGGACGCGCAATTTAACCGGGCAATCGCAATTTTCCGCAAAAGTTACGACTTTCTCTTTCTCCGTCCTCCCTTCACCGCTCTGCGTTTGCCTAACTCTCGTCCCGATAAAGCTTTCGGGTTCGCTTCTGCTCGGCCGCGCGGGATTTGTTTTTCAGAGGAAGGATTTTTAAATCGTGATTCTCTCTAGTCGCTGACCGGGGAGGAGGGTGGGATTTTCCACTTCTCGTGGAAAATACACGTCGGGGACGTTTCCAGTGGAGAGTGTAACCGCGTCCAGATAGAGCTGATAATTTATGTCACTGCATGAATCGGGGGTTGAGCCTTGAGGTCAAACGAGAGAGACGAGGGTTTTCGCGGTGGAATGGATGTGGTTGTTTCATTCGTTTTTTTCTTTTTTCTTTTTTTTTTTTTTTTATTAGCTGCAGTTTAGGTTAATTTACTGAGTTTTTCAATTTGTGGGAATTTGTTAGTATTGTTCTTTTTTTTTTTTCTTTTTTTAGAAACTGCATTGCTTGAAATTATCTAGTGACCAGTGGAGAATTTTCATTACTACAATGTATGAAACAAGCATTCGATATTTTGATCGACACCAGTACGATCACACTGTTTCAAGATTCAGCATACATTTCGAATAAATTTCGCATTCAACCACGATGTCGATCAATTATTGTAAATCCATTGTCACGCGACGGTTAATTATTTAATTTCATCGTTAACTATTCATCGCCAACAATCGCAATCTCTATTCGCGACGCAACACTGCTTCCGTCTCTCTTCAAACACAATCAAACCATCCCGAATACCAAAATATCACCATGACCGTCGTTCTCCCAACAAAACGCTTCCAATGTTCGTCGAACAATGCGGGGGAAAAAAAAAAAAAGAAACAAGCCGTATTACCGCTCAAACAGCGTCATTCATCTTCAAACGGAACGGAAGAATCGCTCGGTCTTATCGAAGGCCTCGTTAAAACGAATCGGCGACGT